AATTAAAAAAAAAATAAAAAAGATATTTTTCAGCTGATATATGCTGTCTCACAGCTCATAAAGCTGTTCATTTCAAAATGATATTCATTTGACATTACTGTTGTTTTTCTTAGCTAGTCTGAGCTTACCAATAGATCTGTAATTAATAAGAAAAAAATCTTTGAGGGTTTTTTTTTTTTGAAGATAGCCATGACCTGAATCATCCAGCTGTCTGTCCTGTTTAATTTACGGTCCCCAGGACCACCTCCTATCCATTATAATTTCATTTTACTTTCTCACAGTCTGTCTGAAATATGAGGTTGAAAGGTGTTTGTCAGAAAGCGGATTTGAAAATAACACTTCCTCTGCAGTGCTTCAAATCAGCTATTCTGTAGCATGTATGTATGATTGGAAAATTGGAAGCTCAGAGGAAATGGGAGAATAATAGTGATGAATACAAACTATTTGACCTTTTTCGTCTCAGAGTGCTTCTTACTAGAAATCATGTAGCAAGCTATTAAATTTTATTTGACGTGTCCCATAATCATATTAAAATATTTCATTTATGTTAACTTTGAGGGGTCTTTCCCTTTCTGCTCTCTATTGAGAGATAATTTAATTCTGTTTGCAAAGATTAGTCCACATCCTGCTCTTTACTTCTACTTGTTAGTGCAAAAATTTTGTGATATTATTTGGTTCCATTTGTGTTTTACTGATGTGGCTGCATCAGCAATATTCAGGGACAGGGTTGACTAATTGGGGGTTAATTAGCTACTGAGCATCAGAACCTTTTCATGCTTTTACCCTTGTGACATTTTAGAGAAATACGGGCTAATGCATTTCATTCTGTGTTACATTAAGTCGGTTACTGTGGCTCAGCTGATGTTGAGTAATGTGCCTGAGCCCTAAAAGTAGAGTAAAATTAACTGTTTCTTAAGTCTGTTTCCATTAAGAGGAATGTGTGTTTTATTTGAATGTTGTGGGGATGAGTCACGTACCTATAAGCATTTTTATATGCTTATTGTATAGTCAGCCTTATGATTGATATGATCAAGTTATTTATTTAGATTCTGTCATAGAAGATAATCCAGATTCATCCCCTTTATAGGAAATATTGATGTGTTATATTCATAAATAAAATTGTAACCCCGTACATCATTAGTTTCTGAAAGATTGCCCTGCAGCAAACCTAGGATTTTTTTGGGTGCGAAGAATGATAAAATGTACAGGACTACATTCAGCACAGGACTTGGACTCCTAAAATAGGGGTTTTGTTGAATTGATACAGTAGAAACCAGACCTGAGATCTGAAAATGCTCCCAGGTTATGCAGGTGCTTAAACTCACTACACACCTTTGTACGTGCTTTTAAAGCCTTCCAGGAGTCCTGCTGCTGGCCGTATCCAAAGCCGTCCCTGTTTGAGAAATGTGACGTCTGTCTCTCATCTAATCCATGCCAAATCCTTTCAGTCTTGCGCCCGGTCCCCCGAGGGGGCTGGTGCGTGGGCTCGCCCAGTGCCTGCCTGCCAGACGCCACTGGGATCTGCTGAGGGTGGTGCTCACCTTCTCCGCTCCAACTGGTCTGTGGCGCATTTGTGCAGGCAGCAGCGGGCTCCCGCCTTCGCTCCCACCGCCCACCCCGAGGGGGGTCCGGCTCCCATCCCGGGTTTTCCCCCATCCTGGGGGGTTTCTTTCACAGACCGGTAGCATGATGGGATGTGGCTAGAGGATTACTCGCAGCTGACTCGGGGAGCTCTGGTTTCTCCGCACTCTACTGGCAGGCGAGTAACTCACTGCAGAGTAAACCTGCAGCGCACCACCTCACGTTTAGTCTCTCAATTTTCCTTACAGCATCCTCAGTCCTGTAACATGAGCTTGCCGCTCTGGCCTGTGAAGGTGGCAAAAAGGAGCTATGTACTAAACATTAATGGATAGCTTGATAGCGATAGTTTCATGGATTATTAATAACTGTTGTTTGAGCATGTTCTCAAAAAAAGCATATGTCTTTCTTCCTGCCTCCCATCTTCCCCCTCCACTTCAATTAATTTCTAAAACCTAAGAGAGTACCTTAGATTTCTAACATCAAGAAGCCAAGGAAATAAGTCCTCCACCATAACCGGAGAGCTGGGCTTTATTTTTAAAATAAAACAGACGGTTTATTCCTTACTCTGAATGAGGAGCATTCTCCAGGGGAATGCAGAAGACATGGTCCCATTCCCTTTTCTGAAGTTATGTATATTGCAATCAGGTATTTTTCAGCAGCTTCTAATAGGGGAGATAAATGTAGCACGCTGAAATTCTGAATTGATTCAATGATTTCACTAAACTTTATGATGCATTTTAGTGAAGCTTCGCTCTATCCGCGCTGCAGTTGTGTTTCCACTACAAGCTGGCTTGCTGCCATAATGAGCGTTACTAGGTAGGTGGGAAAAAATACATCGCTGTGCCTTGCAGCTGTGATTGAGTAGAAAGGACTCAAATTCTGTTCTTCAGCCTGACACTGAAGAATACAGCTGGCTTTTTGAAAAGGTTTGTTTGCACCCAGTCCTTTAATCCCTGAAGCTGTAGATGGTCGAAAGATCATTTTATTTAATAGCAGTAGGTCCATGTTTTAAAAAAAAAAAAAAAAACTAGAAAGAAAAAGCTTAGTCTGCTGGTCTTTTGCTTTTACAAACAGAATTATACTGTGATCAGGTTTTGTTGTACCTCAGCCTCTCGATCAGCACAGCCCCCCAGGAAACAGATGTTCCTTAACTCAAGTGTAATCTATGTATGGCTGTCAGTCATTTCTTTAAGACATTACATGCCATAGTCGTCACAGTTTAAACATTACTCTAACCATAACTTCCCCGTCAAGTGTTATCGTGTAATTGCTAGCATTCTTTATGGCCTCCTGAAGTTTTAAACCAACTTACAAACTGGAAATGCAAAGGGAGACAGGGCTGGATGGCTCAGGCTCGCTGTGAAGCGCGTACTGTTTCACCATCAATCTCGTGGATGAGATCCCTGTCAGTAGCACCAATGGTGCTTCAGTGATTCATTTGAAGACATGATTTGTCACTGTAGTTTTTCTGAAGGATCCGAACTGAGCACCAGCAAAACAATCTTGTGTTTTCAAATCCTAGCGCAGACGAGGATTATGAAGTACATGTATCAGAATCAGCATAGACAACTTTTTAATGATGAAATTTATTTTATTTGATTGATAAGGTGCTTTTCTTATACCTCCATATGCAAAATCAGGTTGTTTTCATTTTACAAAAAGACTAATTAAGTGGACCGTGGCAGGGAGCATCTCAAACTTAATTGTCAGTTGGACTTCCAAGAGCTCAGGATGTAACTTGGGCTGTCAGTCAGTCTGGCACCTGTCAAACGAGACGATGCTGTGTCTCCACTAGACATGTGGAAGGAAATCTCTAGCTGATGCTAAAGCCCAGTCAGAATAGGGCTGAAGCATGAATGACGTGTTCACCACTGCAGTACCTGTTCGAGAGCCTGAGTTTTTAGGGAGGGGTGAGAAGGAAGATCTGTTGGCAAGGGCCTCCTTAGGCTGTTTGTGATCGTCTTGGTCAACAGGGGGGCTCTGTGCAGGTTTTATTAAGTAAAAGAAAAAGGTTTTTGACATAACAAGTAATTTCCTCATGCAAAATCTCAGCAGAGGAGCTTTTCACCTGTGGTATCTTTGACACTTTCTCCACTTACCTGGCTGTCTCAGACAACTATTTGGCCTTTATGATCCTGGCAACTTATGTAGAAGTTCCTGAAGTTTGTATTTGTCTTCAGAATAGCTCAGAATTTATTTTAGTCATCGTGGAGAAGGAATATTGTCATCTAGGTTTTCCACCCCTCCCTCTTTCTCTCTTTTATTCCTCATTTCCTGTATGGGAAGACTGGAAAAAAAATAGCTATTGTAGGAATTCCCTCTGCTCCAGTTACGAGAAAGCTCTCTCAATCATTGGATTCCCACCGTTACACAAAAAATATGGAGAAAACATAAGATAATTGAAGCTAGGATTAGTAATATGTAAAAATGCAAAGATAAGCAGACTACATAGCCTTTAAACTTTCATTTATAGCCTGATATCAGATCATGTTTGCAGTCGGTGAACACCCCACTTTTCAAATTGCAAATTTAACTTTGGCTTCTTTCTTCACATCTTACAGCAGGGTGTTCTTTCCGAACACTATTATGTGTACATAGAGTAACAGTGCTGCTTTGGAGACACTGTAGTGTTAGTAAATGGGTTTAAACAGATGGTATCACAAAGGGCCCAGAGGTAAATGACTGTATTCCTCCGTGTCTTGTTAGCCTGTAATGTTGCATGAAGAATACTGCCAGATCCCCTTTCCAAAGAAGATAGGCGCATATTTTATTTAAAAAATACTTTGTAAAAATTTAAAAAAAAAAAATTAAAAACAAAGCCTCATTGGAGACTTTAAAGGCTTTCTGTCATGCGCTATTCTTTCTTTAACTAAAAGTAATTGTGTAAGTGCAGATGGCTACAATGTGTATATCTATTTCTTATTTTCCACATTTTGTAGCTTTTCAGATGTAGGGGCCCAAAAAGCATTATTTTTGGAAGCCTATTTTATTTAAATTAGAGCATATTTTATGTAAATTATTTGAAAATTTTTCAGAATGTTCACATTTTGTTGTGATCTCATGCTTAAAGTTTTGCCATACCTTTTATTTCAGATTCAAAAATTACTGCATATTTTTAAAGAATGCTATTAAAAGGGACTTACCTGATATTTAACTCTCATGCCCTTCATCTTTGAGTTTTTGGTTTGTTTCTGTCTCCAAAGAGACTTGCCCCTGAAAAAAGATATGCGCCTCAAAAAAGAAGATGCCTCATTTACCCCTTACTCTCTAAGATGAGGGGGGGGAAAAAGGATTTAATTTGAAAACTGTGGTAGATCTCAGCTTCTGAGCTGCCTGACAAACCAGGCTGTGCCAGGGGACAGTTGCCTCCGTCACATGCAGACGTTGCGCTGTCCTTCCGCTCTCCCTGCTGGCTTTCTCCTCCTAAGTTGGCAGGCGGTCACGGATGACAAGCTTCCCGCTCTCCTGGCACTTTGGAGAGCAGAAATTGTGTCAGTCCCAGTCCTTTGGCAGCTCACGAGAGAAAGACTGCAGAATGGAGGGAGCAGAGACATGGTGTCCATGCTCCCAGTACTCTCCAGTTGGTTGGCTGCCCAGTTTGGGATCGGTGGGTTTGACCCTGCCTGGTTCCAGGGCCAGGCCAGGGAGGAGGTGAACACCGGTAGTCATTTCTTCCCATGGGACATTATAAACAAAAATTATTTTTACTATTTTACTTCCGTCAAGTTTGTAAAATATTGATGCTTTTAGGGATTTTTGCTACTACATTGATTTTTGAAGCATAAAGGAAGATTCTGGGTGCGCAGGGGTCTCGTGGAAGTGATTTGTTGGTGCAGGCTGCATTAACTGGACGTGGTTAATACATAGAGGTTACCATGGAAGATGATTTATAACAAAGCTCAGTTCACAGACATTTTATGAGAAGCAGAGATCCCTGGAACTAACTTATCATTTTTTTGTTTACGTTCTTTTTACCTAGAGTTTAAAAAATGAGGTGACTTTTTATATTCCTCTCCGTCACTTTGAAAGGGAAGAGGCTTTGCTCCTTAATTTTTTAGGTGCTAGGAAAAGGGGGTGCTAACTTCTTTCAGCTCAAGAAAGATGTGAAATTAATTTCTTATTTTTTTCTTCTCTCGTTTCTTCCATTCCCCAGTAACATACTTCATCTCTGCCACTACAGTTATTGGGATTTCTGGGCAGTAGCAGCAGAGAAAATTGACAAAATAATTTAATGCTGCCCCATAAGCTCTGAAATGAGGAGGATTGTCTTTGACTTTTGGAGTCCCTGCAGCAGTGCAGTGACGCTTCCAGAACTCTCTTCAATTTTATGTTTTCTGTTTAGAAATCTGTAAAACAAAACCAAGACAGGCAATTCCGCCAGTTTAATTGAATAGCTTCAGGTCTTGTCTACACGCTTACGTGTATTTTCTTACTAATCTTTCATAAGGTCCTCAAATGTATCTGCATATAAATGAGAAATTGTGTGCATGTATACATGTATGTGTATATGTGCGTATGCATACATATAGTCCTTAATCCAAAAACCACTTTTTTTTCTTTTTTTCTTATAAACTGAAGAATTGCCTCCTGTTCTCAGTTTGTAAGTTCTGTATTTCTGCAGAGCAGAGGAAGCTGATAATGAGTTGGTAACATCCTGCAGTTCGGTAGTTCCCCTAAAGGAGAAAGAAGAATTATAATTACCTGTTCTATTTTGAGCAGGTGATTTTGAAAAGTGACCAAGCCATGGACCATTTCAAGAGAGGTATTGGGAGGTTGGGATGGTGTTTTAATAGGCCGAATGCCATCTGCTTCAGCAATTTGTAACGTTTTATCATTGACAACTGTAGAGGAATGAGGCAGTCTATTTTGGTGGAATGGACAGATTTCTGTCCATCTGTGCTTGTATTACAGCATGTCACTTGTACTTTAGATCTGCATAGCTCTGAGCCAAGATAGAAGCCACAGCAAGGTCAAGAGGTGGAGAAGCCTGTCAGCACATTCTGTCTCAAATGATATGACAACTGCAAATTGGTGCTTCAAGCACAGCCTGGAGGCAGTCATTATGTTGGGCCTTGAAGCTCAGCTTTCTCTAATATCATTTCAAAGGAAAATGCTAACTTCAGATGCTTCTGATTAGCCAAGAGTTTAATCTGTTGTAGTTTAAAGTCAGATTCATTCCTGTCTTTCTTCAAAAGAAAAAAGCCTAAAAAAAAAAAAAAAAAAACCAAAACCAAACATTGTCAGGAGGATGTCTGTAGGTTTGTATTGTTGGTTTTCCTGAAAAAAAAAGGATGGTGCTTCTTTCCAATGGCTGAATTAGATAACTTTGCTATATTTCAAGCCTTTGTTTCTTCTCTGTATCCATGCATCTGCTGTCTTTTCCTTTTCTCTTTTCTTCTTTTTTTTTAAGTTTACACAAAGCAATTGGTGGGTTAGTATTTTTATGAGACTAGAGAGTTGACCCTAGCAGGTGACCTTAAAGGTATGTTGCTCTTCCTCTGTTTCACTAGCGCCTACCAGATTGTTGTTGAGGAGCTGCACCCGCACCGAACAAAGCGAGAAACGGGTGCCATGGAGTGCTACCAAATCCCTGTCACCTATCAGACTGCTCTTAGCGGAGGGTCTCCGTATTACTTTGCTGCTGAGCTGCCCCCAGGAAACCTGCCAGAGCCAGCCCCCTTTACCGTGGGTGACAACAGGACTTACCAGGGTTTCTGGAACCCGCCGCTGGCTCCTCGGAAAGGCTACAACATCTATTTCCAGGCCATGAGCAGTGTTGAGAAGGTAAGTGCCAACCACACCTTCCTCCTGGAAGGAGTCAAAAGACATGCCCGTGGTGACAATTGGGACTGTCGAGGTTGAACGTAGTTTGGTGTTGGCAGGGCACGGCGGTAAACCCTCCCGTGCTGTTGACAGTATGGCAGCATGCCATTCGCATTTCATACCGCCCGTGTATCATAGTAACTGCTACTAGATGAGATTTTAATACATCTTGTAGTAATCGTCTCAGCGAAGTAATTTCAGTGCTGTGACTCTGCCTCCTCGGTAAATAACATCCACAGCCCTTTCCCTAATTCTCAGTACTTGCGTGCTTCAGAAGATTAAATTACTGCAGGATAAACAGAATGTGGGCTGCTCAGCTGGCTAATAAAACATTACAAACTTTTTGAGACTCTCGCAGTGAACGTCAAATAAAATGTAAAAATTTGCTTGAGCCAAAGTAACCCCAGGCCCACAGTGTGTTTTCGAGAGCCTTTCTGAAAAGGTGTACTTGAGGCTTGCTCCACTGCTGTGTAGTAGTAAGAGTATGGCTGTCGCTTACCTTCATTGCCTCCTTGGTGTTTCATTTTTAACTCTGTTGCTGAGTACTGCTGCTGGCTCTCTATGCATGTGGAAGAGGGAAAAGCACCAGGGAGGGAGGTTCCAGGTGTGAAGAACAACTGTGGCTCTGCAAGCCCCGTGCTGTTGCTCTTGAATGGTTTTTCCTCTCATAAATGAAAAATGGGGGAGGGGGAAATGATCGGTGAGGAGGGAAGAGATGGTAGGCACAAAAGCTTCAGATATTGAAAAATTTAAAGTTTTGATTTATAGTTTAGAAATCTGAAGGAAATTGCAGTAATATGTCCATAAGAATTTCCATAGGAGGTGTCCAGGCAGGTCAGAAAGCAGCTAGAATGACCAGCGAGATCGATAGCTGCTGAGACTCACCAGAGCTGTCGGAAAGGAGCAGAAGCCGTGTTTACCCTTTCTTAAGTTTGGGTCTCTGCGGTGACTAAACAAATCCTAGCTAACAGGCGGCCGTGCCTTGGAACCTTTTGAAGAAAATCTCACCTTCTACCTATGGTTAGGAAAATTGCATGCGCATCAAGTCAGAATGGGGAAAAAACAGGAGCTAATGAAACTGTACTGGAGCTGCTTAAGAACTGGAGGCTTTTTTGAAATGGAAGAGGCCATTCCCCCTTTCTACTTCTTATCTATAGACCCGTATGGAGCAAACAAATCAAAATAGAAGGTAACTGCTAGTCACTCATTCATATTTCCCTCACCTGCTACATATATTCCCTTTGCTTTTGTTGGCTTCCAGCTGACTAAATTGTAAGGAAATTTCTTTCATTCCCCAAGAAATAAATGGGAGGGAGAAGTAAAACAAAAATATTAAATACAAAAATAGATCTTTATTTTGGCTGTTACGTTTTGACAGATAAGTAGAAGATGAGGGAAGAACACGTTATTTTTCACTTTAACTTGATTTCAGCTTATGAGAGAGTTTAATCCTAAAAAGGTTTTCGCTGGTATCATTTAAAACTTTGGATCAGATTTCTGTTCCTAGAGGAATGTGGGGGGAGGTTTTGGGTGGATGGCACTGCATTCTGCCAGGATAGAGATCTAGTGGTTGTGAGATAACCTCTGAGCTGCAGAATATTTAAACAGGTGCTTTACTATAAAGCAGAGGGCTCACAGAATAGTCAAAGGGGAAGTAAAGTATGCTCTGAAATACACTGTAGGGCTGGGATGAGGGTTACTCTGGATCCTCACAGATATTTTTGATCAAAAGTGGGCAGGTAAATCCAGTAATTGGGGAGAATGCTAATTAGGTAAGATTATATTGATAAACCTTGCGGGGCTTTCATTTAGATTGAAAAATTGTCTTTATGGCACACTTATGGGAAGCCTCAACTCGCATCTTTGCTCATTCTTTACAAGCTGTGTTTACAAAACAGCATCAACATATTTTACCTGTTACTTGGGAATCTTCAAGAGGAGAGAGATCCCAGGGGATGTATTCGGGGATGGAGTGCTGGGGGGTGCAGAACTAGAGGGAGCATATTTTGTAGAATGAAACTGTCATTATTCTATTTTCTAATTACATGCTAATATTGTTTAGAGTGATCTAATACAGCAGCAGCTGCATCCTCTCACGCAACCTTATGCTGTTTCAGTATGTTTGCCTTTAAAATGACTGCACATTGTAGAAAAAGTTCAGAAAACCCCATTTATGACTGACCCTCGTCTGTTCAAGTTGTCCAAACTGTGCATAACCAAGTCGTTTCTCTGTTCATTTGTTTCAGTCGCTAACCAAACTTCTGAGGGGGGGAAAAAAACGTAAAAACGTAAAAATTGTCTTTGCGTGTGCAACTTCTTTGGAAGCACATCACTGTCAAATCACTGTCTTTCCTGGGCAGATTATATAGGCTGTAGATTAACTGTGTCATATGTGAAGGGATACCTGGGCTGGTTCTGTGCTAATTCCACATTGAGAAGCATGAGGGAGCATGTTGCTGACATGCTTCAGATGACTGTTCAAGACCATCAGGATGCAGCAAGACAAGTTAGCTTGGACACAGTGCTGAACAAGTGTACCTTCTTTGCTGTGTGATGCTGTTGGAGGTCAACCCTGGCTTGGGATTTCTGTGCCATGAAATAAACAGGAGCACCAGTCCTCCCCTTTCCTTCCACTGCACCCTCTCTCTGTATTCTTATGGCACGATTTCCATTTGATTTGAATAATCTGAAAATTGCTACACCTGGGCTGTCCTGCACCTTTTCTCCCCATCATTATCCTGGATAGTACAAATCAATATCTCTATTTCATTTAGCTTTTGTAAAGGCAAAATCACTCAGCCTCTTCTCTCCTGCTAAGTCCAGAGCCCTGAGCCACCTTGTTGGGTTGCCCCAGCTGGTTAGCAGATCTCAGATGAATTTATGGAACAGGGAGGGCAAGAAAAAACAACCTCATCTGACTGTTTTCTTTGCTTTTCCCTCCTCAACAGGAAACCAAAACTCAGTGTGTTCGAATAGCTACAAAAGGTAAGAGGTTCATCCCTCCAAGCAAAGTAGCATTTTTAATGAAATGTGGAGTTCTGTTAAACATTTGAACCAACGCCAGTACTGTCCCTCTATTTTGAACCACTTGATAGTCTTAAAATGTAATGGGCTACTGCTTTTTATTCTTTGGTATTGAGCCAAGAGAGTACTGTTCTAGCAACACACAGAATTTAGACAAAATAAGTACTCCTTTGTTTGTCCTGCCTGTGGTTTTCAAGATCTGCTCTTAGGCTGCTGGAGCATTGCAGGCAGCAGATAGATGAGCTGGAGACTAAAAAGCACGCTTGGTAAACTCTCTGTTATGCTAACAGTTATTCCCGAGCAGGCGTGGAAATAATTTAAACGAAGCGCATGGTAGTTAATTTTCTTAAGTAAGAGCTCAGCGTGTTAGGCGAGACATAGGGGAGGGTTGATTTGAGGAAGGCTCCTGTCTTTGGCAGCAAGTGAGGCCCAGGGCTAAGACTGGCTGCATAGCTGTGAGAATAAATCGTATTGACCCCACATAGAGCGGGTTAATCACATACTGCTCACTCAGAAATGCTGTTTCGTCTTCAAATGAGGACTTAGTTGTTCTGCTTATTGTCATCTCTTGCTTTGACTGTATTTATAGCCATTCATTTTGGTTGCTTGATTGTGTCAACATGAGAGTTGTTTGATAGACTCCACCAGCATAAACAAGAAAGGAGCTTACAGATGCTGAAAGAGTACTCTGCAGAGGCCCAGCACTACTTACATTGTCTCTTTCTAATTGCATATTGATATTCAGCATAAAAACAACTTTAGATGCAAGCAAGCAAGCATTTAAAGTACTGTGGTAGCACATCAGCACCATTTTTTCAATCGCTTCTTTCAATTTAAAACTTGTCCCAATTAAAAGCTGAAGCCTCTAATGAGGTGGTAGCAACAAAGCGTTTTCTTGAGAAACCAGAAAATAAAATGTACTTCTCAAGATGTGTTAATATTTTCGTCAAGTGAGGTAAGCTAATAAAAACAGGAAATTAAAACTGTGAGCTAAGTCTTCTGTGAAAAGTACATCAACATTATCTTTCTTATGTTTACCTGGCAAGATTAAATGTTTGAATTAACATATATTTGCATAAACAAATATTTATGTACCACAAGCATGTATTGCTAGGATTTGAGTCAAGGGAGAGCCTTGAAAGGCTCAGAAATATCCTAAAATACTGCAGAAATATGGAAAGAGGAAGAGGAAAGCAGTGGTCTCTGTCATCATAAATTTTCTGGATAGTAATAACAAAATGGGGAAGGAGTTCACCTGGCTTATGAGGAAATTATTTTTTACTTAACCCTATTCAGTCCACTGATGTCAAAGCGATGGTCGCCGGAACAATAGTCCTGGTGGTTGCCTGTATGCCTTCCTCTGCCGTACCAGTCCCCTGCACCCCAGTGGCTGTAGTCTGAAGGAAAGGGGAAATGAGTAGCATGTTTCTTACCATCGTGCCATAAATCTTGGCTTTGCTGCTCTGGCTGAAGACATGTTTTCGTGAAGTAACTGCATTGCCTGATATGTCAGTACTATACTCCTTGCATGTGGAACTAAAAACCGAAATGTTTTCTCTGACTTTGTTTTAATGATAGATGTGAAATGTGGGGGGAAGCAACAGTAGGAGCAAATGCTTTCTCTTTCTCTGAAGGAATGCATTTAATAGGGAATCATCGCTTCAAAGTCACATATGCTCGTACCTCTCAAACAAGTTATACTAGTATTCTAAATAATTTTTAAAAAGCTGATACTGAATTTTTTCCCATGTTTTCATCGTAAAAACAATACCATGATTTGTTGTCCTTGAAGAAAAGTATATTTAATATATTGGTTTATGTATATGTTCATCTGGTTATGCTGATTTTTTATCATCGTGTGTAAGTTTGCTTTGAATCATTGACCTAGGAGTTGTCTGGTTACACTTGTAATATATTCATAGGGAAAAGAGGACTGTCTCACCTTACCTGATGCACCCCAGTAAAGCTAATGTGGCCTTTTAAAATCCAGCAAATTGTCTAAACTATGTATTCAGTTACAAAAGTAGTGTGTAGTTCTGTGTTACCTCCTGTGACTTGAAGCAGCCTCCAGCTGGCCAAACTGAATTTTGCCTTCAACATGTTGAAAAGGCATTAAAAATCATAGAGGGCTGGGGTGGAAGGCAGGGGAGAGGAACGACATTAAAGGTGCATGTAAAAGCAAGACAAAATTTCCCTGGTAGTGAAGCTTAGTATTACCAGCAAAGGTACTCATTTTTACCTTGTTCGAGGGTCTTGTTTTGTCTACTGTGTGTATTCACGCCAATAAGATGTAAAGATGGAGAAAAATATGGTAGTAAAGTCATGGTTTGGTACTGGAGAAGTTCATATCCCCCAAATTATAACCTTGATAATTTAACTTTCTTAAATATGTTATTTCCTTGACCAATTTTACCAATTTTTTTTCTTTTTTTTTTTTTTTGCTTGGGCAGTTCCCTATTAACATAAATTGCATGTGTTTTAACACATAAGGGGTTTTGCACGTATCATTCCTGTGGGTTGCCTCTTACCTTTGAGAATTGATGGAATATTTTGTTTATTGGTGTCAAACTAATGAAAGTCAGCAAATTTAAATTGAAGTGCTCATACTTTTTCAGTCCGTATATTCCAGGTGAAATGTTCTCATGCACTTCTGATAACAAAATGCACTGAAGTGTGAACTCATCTAAAAAATGGTGCCAAATCATGACTGAAGTATGTTGCTGCTTTTGGTGTGTCTTGAAAAAAAATGTTTTTAGAGTAACCTGAGAGGCTTACTAGTGTCTGGTGTATTAAAATATACTGAGTTAATTTTTCGTGGAAGAAAATATTGGAAGAGCACCCTGAGCAGTTCCTGTGTGCTTGCAGCTGAAGGATGAATGCCAGAGTGATTCTTTGGTGGCCCTGATTTAGGGTAGTAACAGGATTCCCCCTTTATCTGGACAGCTATTTGACAAAGCTTGTAAGAATCTAATGACTTTGTGACTTTTGCCCTTCTGCAGATTGGACTGAATTGGCCAAGAGAGTCCCAGGTTATTAGATGTGGTGAGAGGGTATGAAATTTGCACGCATACACAGTCTGTTCACATAAGCTTTGATTCTTGAGGAAAGCACGTTAAAAATAAGTCCTTGTGACACAGGTGGTGGGTAGGACATACCTAAAGCACCATTTCCATTACACGTATAGCCCAGAAAATGTATGAAATGAACCATTTTAATTCCTTGGATACTTTTAGCCAATATTGCTTTCCTCTGTCAACCTGAATTCCCTTCCCATTCAGATGCTCTTAGTAACCAGTGATCACCATCAATTTGTTTAAAACAAACAAATAAAACAACCAGTTAATTGTTCTCTGCCTTGTTATTTTTTGAATCTAGGTAGTAGCATTACCCAGTCACTGATAATCTGGTTTCCCACACAGAACCTGAAGAAGGAGAAAAAAAAATCTTGTTTTCTGAAGTGCAGAGAAGGGTACAGAGACTTAGGACATAGGTCAGATATTCATTAGGAACTGAAAGATGGACTTACACTAGGAAATGTGCATTATTTGACAAAAAAAGCATTGCATATAATTTCCTATAGAAAGTTCTCAAACTTACTAAAACTAATTTGGTAAGGCAGTTCAACCAGTCCGTAACACGCTCATATCACAAGTAATATGTGATAACTGAAGCTGCCTAACCAAAGTTATGATGTTGATGACATCAGTCACATCTTGGAGTTGAGTTTGTGTAAAAATTTGAATGAGTTTCCACTAGCACATGACGTTGGCATTTCATTTTACAATCTAAAATGTTATCGACTGCTAAGGGAATGAAACTAGATTAACATGGTCAGAGTGATGCTTCAACTTATTTAGCATGTAAATAGACATTTAAGAGGACAGAAGGGACAGCAGAGCTGTTATTAAGCAGAGAGTATATGGAGTTGACATTTCTGACAGTTTTTAGGCTGCCAAGTTTGAGGCTAACACTGATTTACATGTATTCTTTTGTTTTGTTTAGGAGACTAGAGGAAAATATTGAAAATTTAATTAGAAGAAATCTACTGTGGCAGTAAATAAAGAAGTGGTGGGTCTGGCAGCTCTACCCCAAAGTATTTAGAAGGAATAAATGGAGTCCAAGGTTTCTCACTCTGTGTTTAAAGCATGAACTTCATCACCTCCAAAATTATTTTCCCTTGTGGTTTTCATTTGTATTATTAGTTCAGGCAGTGTAGAACTTCTCTATCTCTATGCATGTTTGGTTCATACAGATGGATGAAAATGCCATTTGAGATGATGCGCATCTGGAAGTAATCGTGAAATAGCAGAAAATGACTTTTTAATCTGATTTGAGGAATAAAAAGGTCTGGGCGGTAACATTTCAACTGCAAGTGTGCGCTTAGTCCACCATCATTATTGCTCTGAATTCATTCCCACAGCAGTTGGGGATTGATCCAAAGGCCTTTGATGTCAATGGGAGTCCTTCCACTGACATTAATGTGCTTTGGATTAGGTCTTTAGAAGTCATAAATCTGTCTAGACCATAATTATTTCCTTGAAATTGTTCCTGATGATATTTCTGCTCTTAGGGAAATTTGCAAAAGTGAAATCACCTCCTGTAGCAGGATGCACAGATATGTCTGTTACTGATTAATGCACAAATGAGGGAAGATGTCAGATGCTAAATGTATATGAAACAAAGCTTCTCTCACTGTTGTTTTTATGTTTGGATCAATGTTCCTACAATGACTTTTAGCTGTACCATCATAATAGGCACAGGAGACCTAAGTGGCAGTATAAATTTAGAGAAGAATGCAGATGTTGCCTAAGTCACATCTTTCTTTTCACTCGTTCGTAGGAAAAAGCTATTAATGTGTTTAAACTTCAGCAGTCTTTTACATAATGTCTTTTATCTCACAAAGAGGAGATGTTAACTGACTTGCTGAGCCTTTCCAAAGATGGAAACAGAATATTAGCATG